ATTGGTAGAATAGTGAATGATTAGCTACTTGCTAATAAAGTTGCAGTGATTTATGCATAGATAAGGTTTGAATTCAATTATTTGTATAAAGTTTTCGTTGGGGGAGGGAGTACTGAGTATTGTATCTAGGGGTACTTTATCGCTGGATTACACTCCCAGCCCTTTTTGTCTTTCATTTTGAGACAGGGTCTCCTTAAGTGGCTTAGGGCCTTCTTAATTTGCTGATTCTGACCTCAAACTTAGAATCTTTCTGCTTCAGCCTCCTAAGAGTCTGGTATTGCAGGAATGTGCCACTGCACCTGGCTTGTGTGATTTTTAAATTAAAATTCTGTGCCTTTTGTAACAGGGCTCTGTCAATTAAATCCTTTGTCGTCATATTTTATTTTTGAGTATACGCAATAATGACTTTTTTTTTTTCTCTTTTAAAGAATTTTAGTCACGGGAAAGTTCGTAGTTCTCTCTACAAGTCTGTCAGCTTAATTATTTTGAATATGTGTGCAGTTTGACTCTAATGACTTGTTTATATTTTTAAATAGGCAGAAAACCAAAAACTTTTAGATGAAAAAAAACAAGTCGAGAAGATTACTGAAGAATTGAAAGTAAAAGAGCAAGAACTAACTGGTCTTTTACAGACCAGAGAGGTTTGTTAAGGATAAATTTTTGTTTGTTTCAAATATTATATTAAAAGAATACAGATTTGCAAATATATTTTAACTATTCACTTTGTAAAAAATTTCTTCATAAGCTTCTTTTAAAAAATATGCATTCCCATTAACTTTTAAAATGTAACTAATGTGGCTATTAAAATTTAAATTAATAAAAATAAATTTAAAATTTAGTTACTTGATTGTTAAAATCACATTTGAGTATTACACATAGAGAACTTTTAGATTATAATGTGGGAAAGAAAGGTTTACATTTAAGATACCAATCCTGTGTATAATGTTATGGCTTATAACAATTACATTTATTGGTGTCTTAAGTATTTCTTAACTGGTATATTTGAAATTTAGTCTTTATTAAGTTAGATTCTTATATTGTAATATATTTTATAGTGCTCATATTATAGTTTTAGAATTTAAAGTATGTTTCCAGTCCATAAACAAAATTATGTTATAAAAAACTGTCTATAATACTAAGAACATCTTTATTTCTAAGATACTACCTGATTTTATTAATTAACATTTTCATCAATAATGTAACTTTTTAATTGAAATTAATTACTTGGTAGAGTAAAACAGACAAAATATTTTATAATATATAAATATAATTTTTCTGGTTGAACTTGACAATATCAAGGTAGAATTTATTTACATTGCATTTGTCATTGCTCATTTGTTTTAAAATTAAAAATTATTATCACATTAATCTACTTAAATTTAAAATATTTGGCATACCCTGACATGTTTTTTGCCAAACATAAGACTTGATTACTTACAGTGACCATATATTTTGAATGGAAAAACATTTGCCTTGGGTATGTATGTTTATTTTGCAGAAAGAAGTACATGATTTAAAAATACAGTTAACTGCCATTGCAACAAGTGAACAGCATTGTTTAAAACAGGTTAAAGATCTGAAAACTGAGCTTGAGAAAGAGAAGTATGTTATCCATTATCTATATGTTGTTTAATATTCAATTGCTAAGCTTTCTGGTAATAAATAATAAATTAGGAAATTATGTTCAATATTTATATGAATGGATTTCAAGTTGCACTTTATTCCAAATGAAAGATCAAGATGGTGTACTATTGCTAATAATGGTTCATTGCTAAAGGAAGTTATTTTTATTATTATTATCATTTTGTACCAGGGATTGAACTCAGGGGCACTCGCACTGAGTCACATTCCTAGCCCTATTTTTTTTTTTTTGTATTTTATTAGAGTCAGGGTCTCACTGAGTTGCTTAGCACCTCACGTAATTGCTGAGGCTGGCTTTTTGAACTTGTGATCCTCTTGCCTTTGCCATTGGGATTATAGGCGTGTGCCACCACGCCCGGCAGGAAGTATAAATTATTGACATAAAAATAGTACATAACAAAGTTAAACCTCTTTAGAAAATCAGTATACAGTTTTCTCTTGGAGATGGGTTCTAAGATCCTTGAGTATGCCAAAATCTGTAAATTTTTAAGTCCCTTATATATAAAAAAGCATAATAATTGCACATAACATGCATAACATAACACATATTAAATCATCTCTAGATTACTTATGATACCTAATACAATATGTACATGCTATGTAAATAGTTGCTATATTGTGTGGTTTGGGAAACAATGCCAAGAAAAAAAGGCTGTACGTTTAATAGAGATGCAGTTTTTCTTCCTGTATATTTTCATTCTGTAGTTGGTTGATTCCATGGATGCAGAACCCACAGACACAGAGGGATTATTAACTCTATTACCTTTTTGGAGGTATTATTTTTTGACAAAATAACATTTGTACTTCTAAGTAGCTGGGTTTTTTTCCTAAATTATTTCATAGGTTTTATTGATAAAATGTTAACATGAAAATTTATTTCTTACATTATCCAAATAAGATATATTTAATTGAACGTTAGTTTGGAAATTAAGTGTGAGAAATAATTATTGTATTATTACTGAGAGAAATAAATTCAGGTAGCCATTCTGATGTTGAGCATTGTTTTTATCTTTTGGTTGCTTCTCAGCTCTAGATAAAAATAAGAAGTAAATAGTTTATGCAGTAGCTTCTCCTTTCCTGGTTGGTTCCCATTCCCTGATTACCTTTGAACAGTATGTTTTAGGAGCACTGGGTAAAATTCATGTAGTAACCCAAATCTCTTTTGATGAATGGAGTGGTTAGTTAATACTTTAGTATAAATTTATATTCCCTTTGGTTCATTTTCTTTTTCAGTCTTTCATTGCTTAGTGGAAAAATTTTATTTCCACTTCAGTGGATTTCCAGTATTAAGTAGAAAAAGATAATAGGTACTCCTGAAATCCTTCGGTAGAGCACACAATTCTGTGCTCATTTAAAATTGATCCTGGCTGCAACCAGTAACAAATATTCCACACTGCAGTCTGTCTTGCAGTGTGGAATATTTGAAACCTTATAACAGCAGTTTAGTATGATACAAAAGTTAAACCTAGTGTTATCTAATTAAAAATAATCAAATTATCAGAAGTTTGAAGAAATTTTTGAGACATATTATTAGAAATAAAAAAGTTACGTGAAGAAAATAATGTGTCCTTCAGAGTTTGTGAAAATGGTTGAGGAAATCAGAGTATGAGGGAATAACCAAGGGAACTATGACATTTTGAAAACAAAATGTAAAAATTTCAAACATGTACAAAGTAGAGGGAATAATGTGATGAATCAGGATGAACTTACACCCTACTTCCTGGAATTATTAACTAATGGCCCATCTTGTTTTATTTATATTCCTAGCCCTCCCTTCTTTCTCCTAAGATTATTTTGAATTAAATTTCATATCATCATGTAATTTTATATGTAAATATTTTGGTATGAAATATTTTTTAAAAATAGGCTTAAGAATACTGAATTAACTGCAAGCTACAACAAGCTTTCACTAGAGAACAAAGAACTAGCACAAGAAACAAGTAATATGGCCCTAGAAATCAAGAAACAGCAAGAAGATATTAATGTGAGTTGAAAAAGGAAGTACTGGTAACTTGGTTTTCTTACCTGTAAAATTAGGGGGCTTTTAGATAGATGACCTCTGAAGATTCTTTCAGATTAAAAAATAGGATTATTTTAGAGCTGATACTTTGTTTCAGAAGAAAAATGTGTTTATTAATCTGAGATGGTGATAATGGGCCACAGAATGTAGAGGCTACTTATAGATAAGGTTAATATAATTTTAAGCTTAAGATTTTTGTATTTAGTCAATAAGTATTATTAAGTCATAGATGACTCTGAAGGATACTAAGATGAATAAAATAGCATTTCAAGAGTTTATGGCAATAGAAAAATAGTAAATATTTAAATAACTTAAAATAGCATAGTACATCATTTATGTTGTTGGTGGGACAAAGTGTTCTCAGATTTACACCATCACTTCTGCCTTGGTAACCTTAAAAGATGAATTCTGAGTACAGTAAGTGACAATGAACAGATTGCATTTCTTCAGACCAGAACAATATGAACAAATGATATGAGGCTCAAAGTATCATTGGGAAATAAAAGTTTTGTTAGCTATGATATAGAGATTGTTAGGAAAGTAATTAGTATAAGCCAGGAAAAGTAGTATGGAACTGTGCAAATTAAGTAGCCCGTTTTCTTGCTTTATATATGAATAAGTTTTATAGTTACAGATAAAGGTTTTAAATATTAATTTCAGTTTTAGTTTTGTTGAAACAAAATAATATAAACAATGTTGATATCTCTTTAGAGTAGCAAAAAGCAACAAGAAAGGATACTGAAACAAGTAGAAAATCTGGAAGAAACAGAAACACAATTAAGGCAAGACTAATGAATTGACCTTGTTTATCTGGCAATAGATTTTGATATTTTCTGTTAACTTGTTATGGTTAATTTAAATTTAACTTATGTTGAATATTATATAAAATACAAAATTTAGACTAAAATTACTGTTTTGGAATCTTGCTTAAAAATAAAATTGTAATTTCTCCTTTACATTTAGTGTTGAAACAGTAAAATTAGATGAAGGTCAATTTTAAAGCATCATAAACCTTCTAATTCTTTAATATTTACTTAAGAAAGTATACTAATCATAATCCAGAAAATTTATATGAAAGAAAATTTAAAAGTTATTTATAACCACATCAGCTATTATAATATAGGAATATTTATGCCCACTCTATATTGAAGAATGGTCTTTGCTTGTAATCATTGATATACAATTTTATATATGGTTCTTCCATTTAATATTATTCATGTTTCTAGGTGTTTTCACAATCATCTGTTTTTAATACACCAGTTAATCAAATGGATTAATAATATTATTTAGCTTTTTTTTAATTTTAGAAAGGCAAACTTATAATTCCTGGTACACATTTTATTAGTTTTTGTTTAATGACTAGAAATCCTTATGTCTTCAGAAAATATTACATATTCATTGAAACACTATCTAGTGATTTATTATATATCTACATCATATTTATTAGATAAGAATTCTAATTACTTTTATGTAATAAAAGTAAAAAGGAATTTTGTATTGGCTATGTTTCACTTTATACATTATTTTTAGGCCTTTATAGAATATAAAACTTAGAAAAACATTCTCAACTAATATTATTCGATGTAAATGACTCAAACTACAAACAATACTAAGCTAAGCACTGTTATTACTTTTAAAATCTAAGTTTCTAGAAGTTTTATTTTTCAATCAATACAAAATGATCTAGTTCACACTATTAACTACCCAAAAACTGTTTAAAAAACTAAATATTCTTTGTTAAAGAGAAGATTACAAGAAATGTTTTCTATGTTCTCATTTTAAAAAACAAGATTCTGGTATACATGTGGAATTTAAATATAAATTCTTACATGGTGGCTAAAATCTTGACAACTTTTAGCCTGATACAACATAAATCAACAGTTATTATGCATAAACAATTCAAAATTAAAGTTTATAATAGAAATGTCAACAAGTCATAAATATGACACATCAATACTAATGGGTTCCACTATACTTCCAGCAGGCACAGCAGATGTGCACATCTGATAGACTACTTAGAAAATTAAAGCTATCAGAGCTATAATAAGGAATACATAAATATAAACATAGCAATGCCAAAGCATTAGGGCCATTAAAAAAAAAGATGCAATGCAAACACATTTGATAGTTCTCTCTGTGAGTCACTTTCCACTGATTTATAAAGCTATGGTTTTATAATTCTTTTTTAAAAAAGGAAAATTTTTCTACACTGCTGCATGCAGTAATTTCACTGTACATTCTTGACTAAAATGCAATCTTCAAATTCTCTTGAGGAATTTGACATATCTCCTCAGGATCTCTCCAGAAAGTCAGCTTGTCATATTTTCAGCAGCCTTTAGTGCTTTAGTAGCCTTGCGGAGTTCCTTAATAACAGATGATAAAGCTTCTGGGTTAATTCCTTGTTCACAAAGCCATACACAAATAGACAGTGTTTCCATATCTAAGCCAGTATTCAAAATTCTTGAAATCTCAAGCAGAACGTCCATGGTTTCCCTCACCGCATTCAAATTTGCCGCTGCGGTTCCCGACGACCTGGCGCCACTGCCATTTGCCATGGCGGAGGCTGAGGGAGGCTCTGTTTTCATTTTTGAGTATCTAAATTTTCCAGTTTTTCACTATGATAGCTAGTTCTGAAGTAAACGTAGGTTTTTTTCCCCTTGATTTTGAATTTGATAGAATTTATTTCAAGTGGAAGAATTTATTAGGTCATTGAAGTGATTTAAATGACTTGATAATAAAATGATTTACAATATATTTTATTGTAAATGATGCAATACAACAAAAATCATATGAAAGTGCTGATTCCAAAATGTTTTGTTTTTGGATTTTATTACTAACTTATTGATAATTTAAAAGATAAAAATAACACATTGTATTTGTGATTTGTAGTTTTAATTTTTAAAAAATACTTTCTTTATTTTTTAGTTGTAGTTAGACACAATACCTTTATTTATTTATTTATTTATCTATCTATGTATTATGTGGTTCTGAGGAGCAAAGCCAGGGCCTTGCACGTGGTAGGTGAGCACTCTACTGCTGAGCCACAACCCCAGCCCTGTAGTTTTAAATTTTTGGATAAGCTTTGGAATTTTTCAGGTTTGCTTCTTAGAATTTCTTCTTTTTGAAATTGTCTTTGCATATTAATTATCTTTGCACATTAATCTTTTGAGGCATTCTTTTTTTTTGTTTGTTTGTTTGGTACTAGAGGCTTTACCACTGAGCTTCATCCCTAACCCATCTAAATTTTTATTTTGAGACAGTCTAAGTTGTGGTAAGGCTGGCTTTGAACTTGAGATTTACCTGCGTTAACCTCCCCAGTAGGGATTACAGGAATGTATCACCATACCCTGCTTGAGGTCTTTTCTTTTGGACTTATTTAAGCATTAAAAATATTAATCTATTTTATTTATAGCATATATTTTCTCAAATCTGTCATTTTTATTTTACATTAAATTTGATTTTCTTATTTTTGCCATTTCTTTTATACTTAGAAATTTCTTGCCTGCCTGAAGTCAAATATCAGTCTTCAGTTCTTTTAAAAATTTTTATGTTGATATTAATTTTTCTTTTTTAAATAATAAAAAATACTTTAAGCCATTTACTTCTAAACACAGCTGTGAATTTATGATATGGGTTTGATACTCACTTTCCATGTTTATTTTTTTTTCTAAATAATCTGGTTTTGTATTTTAGGTTTCCTTTTAAATTCATTGTTAATCTAGGTGATTTCCAGATATTTGGGAACTTTTGTTTGTACTTGTTTTGAAGTTTTGTTTTTTTACTTTTGGTTAAAGAATGTGGTCTTTAAAACTTGCTCTTATTTTAAATTATTTGTAATCTTTAGACCTAATATATTATCTTCATAGAATTGTTTGAAGATTATATGAGGCATTATGAATACAGATTTGAGTGTAGTAACTGGCACATAGTCAGTGCTTACTAATTGTTAGTTTGTTACTATTTTCCAGATTTGGAAAGTCATCTTTTATTATACCTATAAAATGATTGCTTTTGTCCTTTTTGCTTAATTTTCTTGTTCAGAAGTAGCTGTTATTTATAGGTTGAATATCTTAATAGGTTGAATGTCTTAATAGGTTGAATATCTATGATAAGCCACTATACAGTTTGAAGACAAATTTCAAAGCGAGGCCACATTTTAGTTTTAAATCAAAAATTTTATTTTTGCTATGCGGGGCATTGAACTTAGGTCCTCACAATAGCTCTGCAATTGAGCTATATCCCCAACCGAAAGGATGCTTTTTAAAGAGAATTTAAGTTATTTGGATAATTTCTTTTTAACATGCCTATCTTCTATATGGACTTATGGGAGTCTAAATGTAAATATACTTTCCAACAGTAAGATCATAAATTTAACACTCACTTAGAGTTAATATTCTGCATTCAGTTTTCAGGAAGCCAGCTGTTTTACACAAACAGTAATTATTTCTCGCAACATATTAGTGATAACAAGGGAGACTAAAATTAGAAAAATGGCTTTTAAGTATCCTATTGAGAAAAGCACCATTATTTTCATGTGCAAAAGACAGGTTTTTAATTAAAGTATTTTTGGAAGGATAATACATGTATATGGTATGAAATTCAAAGGGACAAAGAAGCACATGGGAAAAGTTTCTTACTCATTGTCTTCCTGCTATCTGGTTTCCCTCTCCAGAATCATCACTATTTTCTTGTATATGTTTTCAGAGATACTTTATGTATATACAGTAATATTTGTATGTGCACATATTTTAGTCATGTAGTTCTTAATTAGAATTATTTGTATTTATAATCCTAATTTATTTGTATAAAATTCTGGATATGTCTTAGAGTAATGACTGATTTATGACTTAAGAAAACATTTAAAATGAAATCTTGGCTTAAAAAAATGTGTTTTTTCCTAGGAGTCTTAAAAATAGAAAAATGACTATAAAAATCCAGGTGATTAATTTTAAAACAAATATATAAATTAATTTAAATATGGGCATGGAAGTGTGCCTATTGGTATTAACACATAAAAATAATTACCAAACAAAATGAAAAAAAAAAAACAAAAAAAAAATAGTCAATCATTAAAAAATGTCAGAAATGAAATAAAATAAAAATTGGATTATAATGTCACTCTTCTGTTTCCTTTTAGGAGTGAACTGGAGTCTATGAAAGAAGAGCTAAAACAGAAAGGAGATGAAGTTAAATTTAAATTGGACAAGAGCGAAGAAAATGTATGTTATATTTAATAATATGTACTCAGAATCTCAAATCATAAAACACCACCATTATGTCTTTAAAAAAGTGACATATACTGTTGTGTAAATAAGTTGTGATATGGGGACTGTCTTAAGGCATTAACCTTTTAAAAATATAGGTATAGTATAAATGTATAGATTGTAACTGAAAAAAGTATTATGTTTAGTAATGAATGCTCAATATTTAACAGTGATTTACATTTTTGGCTAAATAAAAGCCTCATGCTGTGGAATAAACTAAGAAGTTCATGTTATATTTTGGTGAATACAATTTCAACAAGATTTTTTAAAAAGGGGGGCTGTGAATGTGGCAAATGGTAGTGTTTGTCTAGCATATGTGAGGTACTAGATTCAATTCCAGTACTTAAAAAAACGGTTTTTAGGAAATATTATCACAAATTGGAATTGTACAAAATATGTGACATGATTATACAGTTTAATATATAATATACAGTGGGACAAAATTATAGCAAAATAGAAAGATCATGCTAGATTATGAAGGCTTTATGTTTTCATTTATTGACAGATATTATTTACACATATTATTATATATGCTTAGCATTTTTCTGGGTGCTGAGCTGTGTTCAGATATCATTTGCTTTGGTAGGACAGTTGTGATTGAATAAAGTCTTTTTTGGGGGGAGAGAATGGAGTAGGGAGAGATGAAAAGCACTAGAATCAGTTGGAAAGCTATTAAAGTTGTCTTGAAAGCTCTGAAAACATTTTTGGGGAAGATTCTGGCCTAGTTCAATTTACTTATTCCTAAGCCAATCATTGTGTCTAGGGGATAGAGTAATGGTTGAAGACTTGAGCTACATACCTGTTCCTGAAGACAAGAGTCAGTCCTCATCAAATTATATGAACTGAGCAGAATTACTGTGGAATTTTACAGTAAAGGAGTCCTTGCAGGAATGGGTGCTGGCCAGATCGAAACATAGGTCCTGTGTATGGATCCTATTAGAATTTATAGAAAGGACATCTAATCCAACCTTAAATCAGGGCAAGCTTCTTGGAGGAAGTGACATTCAGTTCACTTAGACTAATAGGAATTAATGGAAGGTAGAGGGATGGATACAAGTATAACAGGAGAATAACAATATTCCCAGTTAAACACACACACATATTATATGGGAACGCCTAAAAGTATGACAGAGGATGGCATATTTAGGCAATGATAAAAAATTAATTGTGGTTGGGCATGGTGGCTCAAGCCTTTATTCCCAGTTACTCAGAATCTGAAGCAGGACGATTGCAACTTTAAGGCCAGCCATGGAAGGTTAGTGAGACCCTGTATCAAAATAAGATTTTTTTAAAAAGGGGGCTGGGAATGTGGCAAATGGTAGTGTTCGTCTAGCATATGTGAGGTACTGGATTCAATTCCCAGTACTTAAAACAAAATTACTGTTGCTAAAAAGTGGAGTTTAAGATAGTTGTAATAATGGAGAGAGTAGGGAGAGATGATAGATAGAGACAAGGGTGGAGAGATGAGGGTGAAAGATGAAGGTGGATCATTTAAGGAAACATAGTTATATTTAGGAGTTTGATGTTATTGAAAAGTTTTATTTTGAGTATTGTTTTAATCATATTGATACTTTAGAAAACTGTAAGACTATAGAAATAGTTCAAGGGCTTATAAATAGGAGTTAGTGGAAAGTAGAGGGTTTATAATGGACCAGGCACATTCTAGGTCCTTTCTGTGTGTTATTTTGCTTAACTAGAATTCATTTTTTTCTTATTTTATGAATTAGGAAATCAAATCTCTTAAGAGTAAATAACTTTGAAAGGTTACATGACTAACAAGTAGTAGAGCTGGTCTTCTACAATCTGAAGACTATACTATGCTCCCCTTCCTCTCCAAAATCCATTGTTTTCTTTTAACTTTATTAGTTATTCTGAATTCAACCTGCAAATGAGTTTAATGCACTAAATACTTGGTTATGTAATTTAGTACTTAAAAATTTGTGTCAGAGGCTACTACAGACAACAGGCCGTTGTTGTATGTGATAGGGAAACATGAATTTGATATTTAATTTACAAAGTCCTTCATTATGAATTTAAAGTATAGTCTATTTTTGCTAATGTAGAAAATCTTAGTGATGAGTTAAGGAAAAAAACCCAAAATATATGTCAAATTATTAGCATATTTCTGCTTTCTGTGATTGGATTTCAACTAATTTATTGAAATAGTTTACAGAAAGAATTCAAATTATAAATACTTTTTAATTTGATTGCCTTACATTTAATTTCATTACATTTGTTTCCCCCAATCTACTACCTTAGTTTAGATATTTATTATTTCATAATATTCTACTTATATGAGTTTCA